AGCAATAAAGATGATGATTCTCTTGACAGTATTAGATGTAAACGATTCGCCAAGTCAGTAACAAAGAATACATTTAATTTGTCTTCACTTCCTCCAACACAAAACACAGCCCGCTTGCACAGCCTCCTAGTCTATCATCAGGTCCAGTCGTGGCTCGGGAATTACAACGACCCTCAAGATTGGGTCTGGAAAAAGTAAGGACAAATATTGATGCCTGTTCAAAGTTCTAAACCTCCAGCACCCCCTGAGCTTCTAAAGTTGATATTCTGTCGATGCAAAGGAATCTGTGGAGCAATGTGTGGATGTCGGAAGGCAGGCCTCAAATGTTCTACAGTGTTCCTGAATTGTTCTGGGGAGACATGCAGCAACATAATGGAAATATCAAAATTGATCGAGGAGAATGATTTTGAAAATTGACTGCCAACAATGACGCCACTTCATTCTCCATCCTTCCTCAACAATTCAATATCGGAAGCTCAATCAGATCCTGAGTCGCAGCCTGGCCCATCAAAGAGACTGAGGACACAGTAGATTGGGAAATATATTGTGATATTTTTAATTACACTAATTATTATGCCAGCTAGAAAATGTTCGTGGATTCTGCCTACTAGGGATAGGACGTAAAAAAACGCGCCACCAGACTCTACCTCGTAGGAGGTAGGGAAAAGAGTCAATAACTAATTAACAACATTGTAATGTATACTTACTAGTACTGGAGAATAGTGTAAGTTTTGCATCGCTGTAAAACCCTAATAAATAAATCAAATTTGAAAAAAGTTTGTGATGGAAATTATTCCTTGAAAACCCCTCTATCAAAATGCTCTGATGTAATTTTTTTGTAAAATGACCAGAAGAAAAGTTATAACGACCAAAAGAAAATTCGTTCCCAAATTTTTATTTATTTTCGTTAATAACTTTGATATTTTTGGTTCTACGACTAAAAGTTACGGAACCAAATTTGTAGAGAATTTAATTTGTAATAAAAAATGTAATAACAAATTTTCTGTGCGACGAATAGTTTGTCCGATATAGTAAGTAGTAGGAAAAAAACCATTCGCAGCCCTTTTTACTAAATGGCGGCCGATGCACAAGGGTTGCGACCCCACAAACATGAATTTAGCTTGACACTAACCTCCTCTTGACATCTAAAAAATAAAATTGCGTGTTCTGACTTTTGCACACTAAGCCCAGAAAAATGTAATATTTCAATGGACTAAATGTGTGTATTTTGCTTAAAAGAAGGCATTATATTTATTAAATTTTTTATAGTTGACACGTGTCTACAACAATTTCTACGTTAACACGAAAATGTTTACATTTCTTATACCATAATTGTAAAAAATGTAATAAATATAAAATATACATGCTACATGTAGTATATCGCATGAAAGAGGAAAAAACAAGCAATTTTTTGTAGCCACAGCCTGTTTCGACGACAATTTTTGTTTGCCCGCGTAGAGGCCGCAGCAAATTACATACGATATTTTAAAAATCTGTTTACATTAGTAGAAAAATATTCATTATGCCATTAAATTTTCTTAAAATAAGTTTTCTCTATCTCATAAAATAAAAAAGTTAGACGACCCTAAACTATCGGTACTTTTCCGGTCTTTTTATAATTACTGTCAAAGTTGGCCATGGATCTCAAATTTGTTTTTACGAGCATAAAGGCCTCAAAAAATGCAACAAAAACATATAAAGATTTTTGACGTGCTTCGTATATTAAGCGAGATACATAGGAGTGGCCCTCTTATAGTAGACAAGCTGTATATATAGTGTTTTTTTTTCCTTAAAAAATATTGGTATTCAAATCATACTGATCGGTATTTTGCCACCATTCAATTGTTTACCTGGTAATAAATTAAAATAAATGTATATAGTTGAGAATTATAGCCTTACGCAATAGATGAATAAATTAAAAAAATAATAAATTATGCTGCAGTGACGATCATTTACGGCATTAAATTATAACTACATAAAATATGAGAGCGGCAGGTCAATTGTCTAATTAATAAAATAAATATATTTTCATTTTTGACGTAATTTGTTTCAGTAACTTTCATAAGATTCTTGTTTGTAGGTTTACCTTTATACTTGTAAATATGGAAATATTTCAATTTACATATTTTGATTAGAATAAAATTATACATAACACATGAGCATAATAATTATGTATATGATCGGATAAATTCATTCCGCGAAAATATAATACATATATAGGAAAAACCCAATATGTTTTCTTGTATTTCTTTAATATAATTTCCGAATAAATAAATTAAATATGTATAGAAAAATATTTCTAGAAAGGTCATTTATATCCCACCGCGTCTTTCATCCTTTTTCTATTTAAATAATGTAATCCAACAGAGTGGTTACAAAATGAAGTAAAAACATTTTACCTTTTTCTGACTGAAATCGTTAATTCAATCATAATTTAAAAGTATTAGGAATATATTTTTTTTCGTTCACGCTGCAGGGGCGGGTCTGATGGAAGTACCTATACAACTTTAAAATTTCATAAATTTTCAATGCTTTTTATAGTTGTTCTTCAATGCAGGATAAAAAAGTGTTTCTTGATACTTTACTATTTAGTCCAAAATGATATAAATCTATATAAAATAGCTTCTCGAATCGTATGTAGGTACATTTTAAAAAGCAAAATTCTTTACTAAACATCGGTTATTATTATGGAAAATAGCGATATTCGACAGAGGTACTCTTTACTTTTGGCGTTACAGCAAAAAAAATCGAAATTTTGATAATTTAGCAACTTAGGAACTCCATTATAAATAAGATAGCTACATATACTCTTGTGCAGCGTGTTTTTAAAAGAAAATATAGCAATTTAATCAGTATTCTTACATGCTAAGCAGCAAATATTATTTCTGAAATAGTAAGATTTTATTTTCAGTCTCGCACATATTTTAACTTAAAAATACATAATTTTCTAGATAATATCGATGGGCTTTTGCCAAAGTAATATTTTTGGCCAAAACTAAACTCTTATGATAATCTTAAGGAAGTAGTAGGTCTAAATGGATGATTTGCCAAACTATCGTAGGTGTTTGAAAAATATATATTGAGAAAAAACGGTTTTATTGCTGTCGTAAATCCAATTATTTTATTTAAGCTTCAGTCAAAATATCGTAAAACGCATTGTTATTTAGAAAACATAACGGCAGTTTCGCATGTACAATCACGTGATGTTACTTACGATACTAATTTTACTACTTACGTTACTGGGTGTGTTGCCAGTCTACAGTTCGTTTTATAGAAACATGCAAAAAATGTTCGGTATTAGTCCTCAATCTATCGAAAACCATCTAGATTAATTAATTCAAGCCTAGTAGAGAAATAATTCAATGTTGCCACACTCATTTATCCAGACACAATAAGAAAAAATCTGTAAAACCAACTTACTTGATTCTTTAAGCCTGTATCAGACAATGCAATTTTGTTGCAGGGATTTGGTGGCCGCGATAGAATCCATGACGTTTTTCTTATCAGACTATGCACTTCTGTTCCAGCAACTGAATTGCATGAATTAGAACATGCTCTATTCCGTGCAACAAAATTGCATGGATTCTAGTTACTTTTATGAAGATTTGTTTATTATTAACCTAGCTGTTGATCATGGTTGTTGTTAGTAACATCGTTGAAGCCACTATTAAAGCTATACAGCAATTTAGGTACTTTTAAATTTTCATCCATTGCAATGTTTTGCTTGAATAAAGAATGTAAATCTTAAGTTATGTTGTTTGCAATACTCTGGTAGAAAGCCATCTATATATTAAAACATTTTCTTATATCCAAATATCTCTTACTTTTTACTTTTGTAAAAATTAAGATAAGTCGCAAGTGAACTAAAATATTCTGATGGTCACGATGAAAACAATATCCTCATTCCAGGGTTCGGAATTACTTCGTTTCTACCCGAGTCGTATTTTTTCTCGGAGTCTTTGTGTACTGTTGGACAATTTTTATTGCAAAGTTGATGTTGGTAACATTGTATAAAACACCTAAATGACGATTTTTATTTATAATTGTCTAATGTTAATTTAACAGCAGATGTAATAACACATTTTGTTTAATTTTATACTTTGATATACCTAATTTGAACAAAGTGCATGACATTTTCAGGAGTTCTAAGATAGTAAGGTCCTAATTTAAACACATTCATAGCTGCTGATAAGCTCTTGTTTACACAGCCGCCTACAGTGAGAAATATAGAAGCTGATAGTATAAATCCGTATGATAAACAGAAAGAGTTATACACTACGGTGCTACAGAATTTCCCAAGGATCGAACCCTTCTAACAATACGGTTGATGTTTATTTCTTCTTTATTTTTTACTCTAGTGTAAAGGTCTTAAGCTAATTCAAACAATTTTTTTTAATTTTTTCAAATGATTAACAATGTTCATCTATACTTGCAAAAGATATCTGACCCAGAGACAAGATTCCTAACTGTTGATAATTACTTGAATCAATTATTCTATGTATTACTTGTCCCAACTACCCCTAAATTAATAATAGAATATGTTTCTTTTTATGTTATTTCTTCGTCTAACAACCACAAATTTTATTGTCTCTTTTATTGTCCTATTAGTTTTAGTATTGTAGACAAGGCCTTGCAGGCGAAATATGATTTTCTTTAGTAAAGGAAATTATTCAAATTTTTATTCATTTTATTAAAAAACGTCTAGTTATAAAACTATTGCAGTTATCACTTTACGAAAAAATACTTAATAAATAAATTCAGAGAAATGTAAAATATTTTTTAATTCTGTGTTGTTAAATATGTATTGCAAAACATTGATTGTATGTACACCCCATATTTAATTCCTAATTCGGCTTAATCTACAGTAAATATGTTGACTTTTCTTTATCTATTGTATGAATATGTATCAATTAATTTTATTAAAAACAAAGATAAAAGTTCAAAATAATAAATAGGAGAGAGCAGGACACATGGGGTCACTTAAGTAATATTTTCGTAAACACGTTTTCAATTTATAAAGTAACGTGGCTAAGTAGAATTTACTTGCAACTGCATATATCAATATTCTCTGTTACGCGGGATCTCTGCACCCAATTTTGGGGTATAGAAGTCCATTGAGCAGGTCACATCCGGTTTTTTTAATCTATAGGCTTAAGATTTATTAAATCTATCTCGTGTTATCCTTATTTATTACATAGTTTCACACCATCTTATAAAAATAACAACAAATTATGTTATTTTCTTTCCTTAAAGCCAGTAGCCAAATATACGATTCGTATAATTATTATGTAGAAGAACGAAATGTATTTTTAATATTATCAAAAACTACAGTACCTACTTTACGCAAATTTATTCTGGAACTTTTATCATTGCAGCTTCAAAGAGAAACATTGAAGTTGTTTACAGTATTAATTAAAAAACTATTTTAAAAATGAATTGGCAACAAAATTTAAATCATGTATTCTAATTTATCTCATTTTGGTAAAATATGTTGAATAATGGCTTAATCTGTTTATTATTTTCAATAATCTTGAATTAAACGTACAGTCACGGAACATCCTCTCAATATTAAATGTCAAAGAAAAAAATAAACATAGCTTCTCTTAATCCTTACCATTTATGTCTAGGCACATCATCTTCCTGAAACAGAAATGCGCAAACTCAAGGAAGTTCACGACTCTTGCCAGGCCAATCCGACAACTCACGTAGATGAGAAGTTATTGAAGAAATTAAAAGAAAACGTTGAAGATAAGAAAGTCGGTACCCACCTGCTTTGCATGGCTGTAAAAGTCGGACTTTTAACTCAAGACGGTGATCTTATGAAAAATGTCATCAGAGATAAGATAGTGATAGCAACACATGATGTATCTAAAGTCGATGAGGTACTGAAGAAGTGCGCCGTTAAGCGCGAAACGCCGGAGAAGACTGCGATTCAAATGTTAGTTTGTTTCATTGATAACGGTGTTCACTACCACCACAATCTTTGAATGTATTGTTAACTGATGAAAATACAACAGAAATAAATATTTAAATAATTTACTTTATATTTATTTTTACCTTACGTCAAATTTAATATTTTGTTACAGTTCAGTTAAAGGTACAAAATAACCTTGTGTTTATCTTAATTATTTATTTATTAAATCAGAATAAGATGTTTTGGATTGTGTTCCAAGTTATGAATCCACCATTTGTTTAATCTTATTCATGATAGTAAATCTTCTCGTCATTCCCAAGTATATCTCGTGGGTTCAAAGTTATGATAGCGAAAGAAAGAAGACTGTATAAGGACTGCTGCAAGATCTGAAATTTCGACACTTACGCCATTATGTGTCCTCTTGAAAATAAAATCGATGTGTCTCAGGTTTCTTTGCTTTTTTTTAATTCCGATATTTTCCAGGTGGGAAGTTTTAATTGCAACACCCTGTACAATATGAAGTCCGCTGAAATTCCATTTCATCAAAATTGAACGTTACATTGTACTATTTCAGGTGAAATAATTGAATGGTACCGACTTATTTTTAAAGCCACCATTAGATTTAAAAGAGCAACGCAAGATAATAGCAATCACTATCACTATATAGATTTAATATTATTTAACTTTGTTATTGTTAGATAGCAGCTCTTGCCTAATTGGAATATTCCTTGTATCCAATTATCATATCTTTCTCACGCGTTGTTATTTTATTCTACAGGGTGTTTCAGAATTAAGTCGACAAACTTTAAGGAGATATTCCTCATAAACAATAAGAAAAAATTCAAGTATAATTTTTTTCTACAAACGTCAAAAAATGACAAGGTTTGCGCATTGACAACAATATGCGAAGTGACACTTTTTTCGGATTCTTACGTTACCATGACACCGTGCGCGAAATACTTCGCGCACTAGGGTGCGAAGTATTTCGCACACTGCATGTAAATTAATAAGAATTTTGTATTTCAATCTTTGAAAAAATGAAGCAAAACTCCAAATTATTATTTATTTTTAAGTAAATGAATAACAATTAAATACTTTTAAAATAATGATAGAATTTTACAATAACTTTAGTTATTATTTACAATATTAACATTAATCGTACAACCAGTACACGAACCAATATTTATTCTTAAACCAGATAATTCAGGTTCAGCTCGGGATATTGGGGTTTTGGGGGTTGAAACACTACTAATTTTTGAGGTAGAGGTGATACCATGTGATCCTGAAATTTCACAATCTAAAATTTTATTTGATATTTGAATCTTATTATTGATAGAATCTTCCACGTATCCTTCGGCCACGGTGGAAGATTTCCATCCCCCGTGTCTCTTCAAACTAAATATATCATCCCCAGCATTAGCAAGAAGTGTGGCCGAGGTTCTCCGAAAACAGTGACCTGTGTAAGCATCAGAATTTGGTAATTTTAAGTATTTTGCTATTAAGCTGGGCATCCCTCCAATAGAATTTATTCCAACAACTTGGTTAATGCATCTCGTATTTTGATACTTCAAAAACAATCGGCGACTGCTAGCATCACTTGGACGAAGAGCCACGTATTTTCGGTAAATATCGATATAATCTAGATTCGAAACCGTAAAAATTCGTTGTATGTTCGTTTTTGTATCCGGTACTTTCACAATCAAGATGGAACCTTTATCTTCTATGTCATCGCCACTCATTTTAGTGAGTTCTTCACGGCGACAAGCACCAGAAATACCCAATATTAAAACGACCTAAACGGATATCGATATTTAGTAATTTAAAATACATATAAAACAATGATTAAAAATATACCTTAGCCATCAAATATATTTCATCATCTGCCTCTCTTATGAATTGATTTACTTCTTCTCGAGTTAATACCTTAGATTTCTTAGGGTTGTGTCCAACTGACAATTTTTTCAAATATGGAACCAACTTGGTAAATTTTTTAATATCTACGTTTTCCTTAACATTAAGTGTTGATTTTAGCATTGAATATACTGCCCATAATGTGGAAGGCTTCACCTTCTTGGATCTTTCTGCAAAATATGCTAACAGCACATTTTCGGATGCTTTTCTTGCTTTATTTGTTTCACACCACTCCTTAAATTGCCGATATGCATTTTCATATTGGCGCTTCGATTTTTCCGGTAAAAGATTTGAAGTTACCAAATTGGCCGCATCTGCCAAATTAGGTGGGGTACTACTTAGTTCATCGTCACTAGCAATTTCCATTATTTTAAATAATATCTGGCACTTAAAAATTGAAGACGCGAGCACAAACGTCACTTTAAAATAATTATTATTGTTGTCAACAACAGCCACTTTGTTTCCATAGTAACAGTGAAAATTTGATTAGGAAAGACATTTTAAGCCAGCTCAACACTATTTTCTATAATAAATTAGGCATTTTACTTATTTATAATATTTTTAAGAGATAGATTTTGACATTTGTAGAAAAAATATTGTTTGCAGCTCGTGCGCGAACTACTTTGGTGGTCTCGAATAATTTTTTTAAAAATTCAATTCTCGATCACCAAAGTAGCATTTCGCGCACTAGATACAAAAATAACTATTTTCCAGAGACGCTTCATTTTCGAAATCGTTAGATTTTTTTAAAAATTCGAATTTTTTAAATAATCTCTAAATGAAGAAGGCTATTTAAGCCAAATTTGTCATGATATATCTTCTTATAAGATACCATTTTTCCATAGAAGTAGAAGTTCCGCAAGCAATCAGTGGCGGAGTTATGGGACTCAGACTCATAAAATTATACAAAAAAATTAATACGGCCCTACTGAAAATAAAAATGATGCTGTTTTTAGATAGAACAGTTTGTTATTGACAAAAAGTGTACATTCACTTTTTTTCCTAATTCTTATAGTTTCATGGCAAAATTGATTTTTCGGAAGGGTGCTTCTGGATTCTGTCGATAAACTTTAAAATGAACCTCAACAAAAATTTTCGAGTAGGATGCTGTCAAGCAATGTTAATTTGATGTTTTAAATGTTATTTTACGAATTGTCGCATAAATTATCCATTAAATAAAGCGTTCAAACTAATAATAAAAATAAGTTTAATAATGCCGTCCATATTTTCGAACAATGAATATGCTGATGGTCTTTATACATGGTCTTTGTGATGGAAATGCCACGGCGCGGCGGCTCGCCGTGAATATGCAGTAAGATTTCCTCATCGCAAACTACCAGCAAAGGAAACATTTTCAACGACATTCAGTCGTCTTAAGCGGCGTTTACATTAGTCAACTTCTGATCGGTCGATCGAGTTGATCGATCTGAGGTCGTTCGATAAAAAGGTTTACATTTTAATCGTTGTCGGACGACATTTTTATCGTTATATTTTTATAGATGGCGCGTGTGAAACGTAAAGAAAATTCACGGCCATAAATTGTGCGTATAGATTTAATTTTTTCTTTCACAACAGCAACTGTTAATCCCTCGAAATTCATTTCTTCTATTATTGCCTCTATCGTCGTATTCTTCGAATTACAGTTTTTATATGAATCACTAGAATTGTTCCACAGACATTCATTCTGTTGATAGAGATCTATAAATTTATTGATTTTACTTTCAGTCCAATTTAATTTAGACATTTTGCCTGCTTTTTTTACGAACAACAACAGAAATATCTGTTTTAATCGACTGTCAACTAATTCGGGAGACGGTCGACTGCTAGTTGAAACGACCGAGTTGTTCCACCAAAAGTAGCCACAATGTCAACTTCTAGTTGAACGACCGGTAGTCACCCGGGCTCGGTTGAAATCGGGTTTACATGGGCGATCGTAGACGACTTTTAGTCGATCAACTTAGTCGTTCGACCAGAAGTTGCCTAATGTAAACGCCGCTTTACCCGCAATTGTATTTGGCACGTTTTGCTTAGGCGACTTGGTTTTTGTAGGTCTTAAGATATACGTACGAAACTGTTAATTAGAGTTTCTATCCAACGTTGTACATAGGCGATTCTCGAAATTTTCCCCCTGATACTGTTGCTAATGCTATTGTTGTTCCTGTTGATGTTGTGAATAAATGAGTGAAAAATTAAAGAAGAAAATTATGTCACATGGATAGCGGCGTCTTTTGCCTGTCCTATACTTACCTGACCCGATACCTATAGAAAGAGTAGCCGTGTAGCCGCTGTATTTTAGGTTAGCCGAAGGCACTTGGAGAACTGTCTTGATTACGTGTTCCTGAGCCCGTGAGTACGTTTCCATTTGTTGTTATAACATTTTGCTGTCTTGTGCAAACCTCAAAGAAGTAGTGGAGAGCTGTTACCATCGACCATTTTGCCTTGAAAACTTTTGATTTTCTCTACTGCAAGTTCTACAATTTTTTAACAATCTATTTCTCACAAATATTTATTAGAGAACAAATATATGAACAATTTATTTACCTAATTATAATAATATTTATTTGTCTGTGATGGTAATTAATATATGCCATTTTGGCTTTTGGTGTCAATAAAATTATACCTACTACGTATAATAGACTAGCTTTTACCCACGGCTTCGCTCGCAGAGTGATAGAAAATCTTTCGTAAAAAATATTTTTTTTTAATAAAAAGTATCCTATGTTACTTCTAATACCTCCAAGAATATGTGTACAAAGTTTCATGATGATCGGTTAAGTAGTTTTCGCGTGAAAGCGTAACAAACAAACTTACATTCACATTTATAATATTAGTAGGGATTTGTACGGCAAATATGAAAGTAAATTTATGATGATATTTATTTTTGAGAAACAAGAAAGAAAACAATTAAAATGTGANATTGGTTAAACCCAAGGGAAGGGGAGACAAAAAGGCTTATTTGACTCATACATACTCGAGACTAAGACCAATTTTAATAGGTACTATATTTTTTTAGGTTTTATGAAGAACGTCTTCCTAAAGTTTATCGACAGAATCCAGAAGCACCCTTCTGAAAAGTCAATTTTGCTATGAAACTATAAGAGTTAGGAAAAAAAGTGAATGTACACTGTTTGTCAATAACAAACTGTTCTATCTAAAAACAACATCATTTTTTATTTTCAGTAGGGCCGTAATTATTTTTTTAATAATTTAATGAGTCTGAGCACCCATAACTCCGCCACTGGTTGCTTGCGGGACTTCTACTTCTATGAGAAAAATGGTATCTTATAAGAAGATGTGTCATGCCAAATTTGTCTTAAATAGCCTTCTTCATTTAGAAGTTATTTAAAAAATTCGAATTTTTAAAAAAATATTTAACGTCCTATATTTCGAAAATGAAGCGAAAATTTTTTATGAGGAATATCCTTAAAGTTTGACGACTTAATCCTGAAACACCCTGTATATCTATTTTTTTTTCGTTTTATACTATTATACACTATGTTTACAAATTTATATTTTTTTAAATGCGGTAACTTACTTAACAGCATAACTAAGAAAAATTAACTGAGGATTTTGAACAATTCCAATGATGAAGGCGACTATCATGGTCATTTTTTTGTAAGATCTACTGTTTCCAATTGATTGATGTGTTCGTAAAACATCTGATGCATCTGCATAAATAAAATCATTCATTTTACTAACATATCCCTAATTTAAACTATGAAAATAACTATTTTAAAGAATCCCAAAAATTGAGTACTCTGGTCGATGTGTGTGGCACTAATGACTAAACTAATTAACGTTAGTTGACATTGTTTTCTTCAGTAAGTACATATATATTATAAATGATAACGTTGGAGAATGTATAACTTGATCGAAATCTCGCAGAAGTAAATGAACTTAACCTTCCAATTACCTTCGAGAGAACCTGTCTGCTATATACGCTACTACATTATTGATAGTTTGTTTACACTGTTCCAGTGACTGGTTGACCTTAAGATTTCTTGTTACTGGCTTTTCTCTGAAATTCAAAATATCCGAAGCACGGCACAAGAAGCAATTTTTCTAGTAAATTAATGGGGATGCCCCAACCATTTAAATATTATTTTTGTGGTCTCTTACTATATATGCATTTGCCGCTGGGTGCAGAAATCATTCGCTTCAAAACCAGCAACCTGTAATAGTCTGTTGTTACACTACTGAAAAATCAAAATGAAAGCTTTTGCTGTTATTTTATGTTCGGTCTTTGCAGTAGCCCTGGTAAGTATTTTATTTTTCAGTATCTAGATGTACCTAACGAAAATTCCTTTAAATTTCAATTTGTGTTCCATTTAGTATAACAATTTCTATATTATTGTTATTATTGAAAAATTAAAAATAAAAATAAAATTGTTTTTCATTTACAAATTAAATAATAATTAAATTTTGTGATTAAAATATAGACAATACATACAATTCACAAGGAACTTTGAATTTAATTTTTGTTAAAATTCAATGAAATTTATTACATTACCTACTAATAGGCAATTTTTTATTTTAGATTAAAATAATTGAAAATTTATCTCTATTGCATTTGTATTTGGTTCATTCAGATTATGAGAGAGTCATTTGGGTATAATTTTATTAATTTATTTTTGATATTGAATATTGAATTAAAAAAGTAATTTTAAAAATTATGACTGCTTGCCTTTACAACAAAATCGATTTCATTTTTATATGGTGTTCTACATTTCATCATTTTAACAAAAAAAAATATATATAAAAATATTTTACCTTTATTTAAGTTGAGAAATTTATATTAAATTTACATGCATTTAGCATGTCTGTTTAGATAATCTTCTGAATTTTGGCTTGTTGATTGAATTTAATATTTTTTATAAATAAATTATGTAATAGTTCCGAGCTCATAGTGGATATCTGTATGACTAATAATATTATGCTTCTGTTTGAAATAACGTAAACAAATTTCTGTTTACATATACATTTTCAGATCTATGTCAATTTATTAGCAAAATGTAATCTGCCGTTTTCATTTAAAGCGTCTTAAAACATACTTTTAGTTTTTTTTTTCTACTTTTTTTGAATAACTATCTATTTTATGATGTTCAATTATAATAGTAGGTCTTTCAAAATTGTGTATAAATAGATCAGACTTGTTGCAATTGCAGATATCTGTATTGGAGTTAAATTATAATGAACGGAGTGCATTTTGTTTGTCAAAATTTAAACACAGATTACGTTTTATCGTAGTAGAAATAGAATATCGTTCGGCCCATTAATAATACAGACCCACTAAAAAAAAATGTTCTATACCAGAGTCTCTTGTGTATTTTTACTCAAATTTTAAACATTCATAACGCATTCCTATGATTATTTTTAATTCGACATGTGTCTGCCATTTTGGATTTAAAAATTTCCGAATTAAAATCGATATTAGTGATTGGAGACTGAAAATCACCGACAATCAAGTTTCAGCTATAATCTTCAAATTTTAAATGATTTTCCGAGTTTTTTACATCCGCCATATTGGAACCGTCATTCAGGAATTTTGGGATTGGGACTTCAGATTCGTAATCAGCGACCCCAAAAACTCGCGGTAACAAAATTCAGACAAAAACATTGAATAGAAAAACCCTTTGAGGAATAAATTATATTCTTTTGGTATGTTTTTTATTCAGCATAAAAAATACACAAGATCTATGTACTCCTGTCTCTGGTACAGAACCATTTTTTGTGGGGCTGTGTAATTAATAAAATAATAATAATTGTCTAGTTTTTATTATCAGCAGGTGTCTTTGCATTTCTGAAAGTTATTTGTACATCTGGTTTTTTATTTGTAGTAAATGAGAACCTAATAAATGTCATTCAAAATAAGATGTAAAGCGAAATTGTCATTTTTAAAAAATCATCAAATTTGAAAAAAAAATAATTTATGTAAAGGAGGGCAATTCTTTGATGATTTTTGACATTTGATTAATTGTTCCATATAAATTCCATATTTTACAGATAAAGCGTTATCAATAAAAAAACGTGTCACAGTTTAGTGAAGTTGCTTTGCGATAGGTACCGATATTTTTTCTGTAAAAATTTTGGTAAATCACAATGTTATAAATTAACACATCTGTATCATTTACAGAATAATAATTCAAAGTAGGACCGTCCTCAATTCTTTAGAAATATTTTATTTGTCACACATCTTTAAAATGAACACCAAAACTAAGCATTTTTTTTTTATCTCTTCTATATTATGTAACCTGCTACATTTTTATCACCAGGCTCAGCTCCCCGATAGCGAAAGGATACACCTTAAACAAGTCCATGATTCCTGCCAAGCCGACCCTAAAACATACGCCGACGAGAGCCGTCTGAAACAGCTCAACAAGTACATCGATGACAACGTAGTAGGCACCCACATGCTGTGCATGTCCAGAAAGGCCGGTCTCCAGAAGGCCAACGGTGACTTGGACGTCGGAGTTATCAGACAGAAGATTGACCTTGTTACAGCTGACAAGTCCAAGGTTGATGGTTTGGTCAAGAAGTGTGCTGTTGTCAATGGCAACCCCAAGAGGACTGCCAATCTTCTCTGGCTCTGCTTTGTTCAGAATAACATAGATTATTTGCATAGATTGTAGGTGACTTGATTTTTGTGATAAAAATAAAAGACTTCTGGAATAAATGATAGTTTTTTTATTACCATGTGATCGTACAAAATAGTCGAGAATATTGAAAGTCGATAGAAAATTGTATGTCTTTAAAAACCTTTTTAAAAATTGTTCACCGTTTATACATATAATAAAAATACACAAATAGAGTAGTAAATTAAATTGGTTGCTCACTGAGATATGAGTTGTTGTCGTTAGCTTTTTTCTTCATAACTTTGTATAGATATTTACGAAAAAAATACATTTTACCAAAAAATTCTGTTAACCGGCCAAAACAACTTACATTCGTTACTTACGATTTAGCCATGGTGGCTCAGTTTAATACTCAATGTTATAATTTCCTCAAAATTGCATATCTTAAGCTTGCTAGAATTTCGTTAGGTGCCGATTTTTAAAAAATTATATTGATATACTTTTATTCGAAATAAATACGACACTGTTACACCTCTTGGCGTAGTTCGCTACAATTTCTTAGCTAGTAAATATTAATTGTGCCCATAAATCTATAAATTGACCAATTATATAAACAGACATTAGTTCAAGGAAATTGAAACGAATAAAAAATGGACAATTTCGAATAAAATTGCTACACTTCTGATTTTTCTTTCAATTTGGAACCTAAAAAAAGCAATTGCAGGTATCTATATGCAAGATATTTAAACAACATTTGTTTTTTACTTATTATGTAAACAGTTTGTATTGAAGGTACATATCGCGTGACTACAAATTAAGTGCAAAAAGGAGTCATACTCATAAAAATGGTATATACCTTTGTTTTGAAATATACAAATATACAGGGTGTTCCGAAATTAGGGGGCAATATTTGTACAGGGTGTTCTATCTCGAAAAAGATTACTTTCTCATTATATAAACGTGGGTCCAAAAATTCTTCCTAAGGAAGTTATAGCCACTTAAAGGGGCCACTCTGATTATTGTTTTTGCTAAATAACTCCGAAATAAGTTGAGATAAATTTATGAAATTTGCTAACTAACTTAACTCTTACGTCTTCAGTCCGCTACTAAACGAAATTTGCAAATTTGCGTCACATACGTTCCAACACCGGTGTGGGGGGAGGGGTGTAAAATTTACCATACCTTTTTTATGCTTTGACTATTTATATTTTTGAGTAAAAAGTATGAAATTTAAGAGTTTTTTAGTAAAAAAAGGTACTCTTGGTCCATATTGGTAGAATGTTCCATTTTTGTGTAAAATCCGTTTAAAAATTATGTTACATGTTTTATTCACCGAGAATCGAAATTGTCAATATTTTCTATCGTAAGAATTTGTGAAGAACAAAAACCATTTGCATTAACAGTTCAGTTATTTACGTTTTGCGAATTGTATTTCCACAGAAGTTTATTATTTTCAGTAAATTATTACTTGATAGAGTAAAAAAACAACTGAAATTATTAAACAGTAATACAATAAACTAATAAAAATAATTGAAAACCACACTATTAATAAAACTTATCTTTATCTCAATAGTAATTTTTATAGCAAATGCTCAAAAAAATTTCCAGTTTGGTGAATACATTTTTCAGCTTGATTCGAATTGCTCGCGAATACCTCAAAACTTCAAAATTATTTTGTCTGATTTAATTCGCAGCCAAATGAATCCTCTGTTGTAATTGGTCCAAATGATTTATTTCTGTAGCGTAAACTACAGCCTTCATCCTACCTCACAGGAAGTAATCTAGAGGATTTAGGACTATAGATCGAGGTGGCCATGGAATGGGGACAACTTTACCTATCCACCTACCAGGAAAATGATCATTTAACCAATTTATGAGATTATGGGTAAAGTGAGGTGGTGCCCCTTCTTGTTGATGTGTAACGTTAAGCGTACGTTTAACGGTGTATCATCCAATAGTTCTCTTACATCATTTTGCAGAAAGTTTAAGTATCCTTCTGTATTCAGACAAACGGGAAACTGAATTGGTCCAAGTAGCTGATCCCCTAAAATTCCGGTCCACATATTTATTGCAAATCTGTTTTGAAAATTTGTGCAACGTATTGCCCGTGGATTTTCGTCTGACCAAAAATGGGTACTATGAATATCTGCTTGCTATACATTCGTAAAATGATGCATTTTCGACTGATAGTAATTTGCAAAAAGTAAATAACTCAATGCAAATAACGCCAAATTCATTTTTGTTATTCAAAACCTGATGCGACGATAAAAAATATTGACTGAACTCTGAAATTTCAAACTTTTCAGTCAAAAGTCAAAAACGTCAAAGCATAAAAAAGTTATGGCAAATTTTAACCCCCTCCCCCCACCGTTAAAACGTATGTGGTGAAAATTTGTAAATTTCGTTTTGGTAGCGGACTGAGCACGTAAGGGTTAAGCCAGTTATCTCAACTGGTTTCGGAGTTATTTAGAAAAAAACATCATCAGAGTGAGTGGTCCCTTTAAGTCGTTATAATTTCCTTAGGAAGAATTTTTGGACTCACGTTTATATAAAGAAAAAGTAATCTTTTTCGACATAGAACACCCTATAGAAATATCGCCCCCTAATTTCGGAACACCCTGCATACAATTATTATTGGTAATAAACAACATCAATGAATGAAAAATCTTTCAAATCTAAACAAAAATCTTAAACTTTAAAGCCTTAAGAATGATAATTCTCTTTATTGGCCAGAGAACTTTTTCGTTTGTAGTTTTTCAGAAGGAAAATTAAATAGATTTAAAATTCTAGTACTTATTTCTATTATTTATTCTCTTTATTATTCTATTGATTTAATCTATTAGTAATTTATCTATTAAATAGACACTCAATAAAAAATATTACGTGGATGTTTTCTTGTTCCAAATGGATAACATTGAAGGTTTCTCAAAAAAAAGGCATTAAATTATGGTGCACCCTTAAAACAGTTAGAACTAACCCATTTCGCTGTTAATGAAGCAGGATATGAATGAATATAAAAGGAAATTATGTTTAATACAATAATAGTAAGCACCTAATTTTTCTAAATTATGTTGATTAATTTATAAATATTGTGAAATTTAAAAATAATAATAATTCCTCAGATATGAATGAAGAATAAATAATCATTCTCCAAGTCTTTGCTTGGAACAAAATCAATTAATCTAAAAGAACAATAAATTAAACTGTGTAATCCGTTAGTACTTGGATAGTGCCTTAGGAATTTGTATAGCATTATTTTTAAGACTACCCACTAATAATTTTGCACTTTTTGGTACCTCTTTATACTCGTATAAATCGGGACACCTATGTATGAAAATTTTATTGGCAAAGTTAACAAAAAGTAATTTTATTAAATATGTACAACCTACTAAAAGCCCTAAATCTTAGCTTTATTAGTAGTAATGATTCGTTTGTAATGAACAATGTGATCGCCGATGGGTTAAATAAAATTTAAAAAATTACATCCATCACCAGCTGGTGAAGTACAACGTTGTGTTTTAACAGTCTTGATCTTATTATTTTAGTAACTTTTTATTTTACTAATATTTTATTGCCAACCCAAAGGAAATAAAATTATTGCTTCAAACTAAATTACTGATACCCTTACCACCCATACTACAAGTTCTCACAACTAATGCCTTTTCTGTTTGGTGACAAAATGACTTGTGGTATTTTCAGTTTATAATTTTAACTGATAGAAATCGACGTGCCTGTAAGTTTAATTTAATTATTTCGGAAATTATTACAAGATTAATCATGTTACATATAATTGCTGTGTATAATACGTGTTTACTATTAAATTAAATTGTCAATTTGCAGATATATTTCGATAAAAGCTTGCTTGCGGATTAAGAAGCAGTATTCCTTGCATCTATTTTGTACCATTGTATCCAACAAACAGTACAAATTAATCTAAAGTTCATGTTTTTAATTTCCAAAATATCGAAAATTTAAGCGGATGGGGCTAATTTTTATTCCCTTAAAGAATAAAAGGTTTGTCATTAACATTTTTATATTGTTCACAGTATTAGACAAACAGAAGTACTTAAATGAAATCTAGTCTATCAAAACTTTTAATCTAATAACCGAAGAATTTGTAAATATGTTTTTTTTAAGTTGTTCCGATACAAAGTGATACGAAAACGGAGGTTGTCACTTGTTGCCTATGTCTAGATCTTAACTTTGACTTTTCATTGAAGGATATTGATAATAGTTCTTAAAACCTGAATAATTTGCAACAAATGGGATCCATAGAAATACTATTTCACTTACACAGCTGGGTAATAACTATTTTAATAGACTTTTCAAAATATAAAAAAATATGTAAAACATACACCATATAGGTTACACATATTTGGTATAATTTCAACAATATTTTTCAAAGAAAAAAGAGCAATATGGTAGCAAGGTTCAGGTGAATATAAAACAGCTATTTATTTTACATATTTTGTTGTTATGTTCAACAAAAGGATAAAAGCTGTATTAAAAAATAATTACTACGTTCTTGCTTAATTTAATATAAAAATAGCCAAGGTTTCAAAACGTATGTGCAATAAAATATGCATTCTAGTAAAAAGTGGTTAGTCGTTAGATAAATATGTATTTATTATTCCAGATTACTTTGCTTATTTTTATTTTAGAAATACACCATCTATTTAAATTTAATTTAATTTAATTACAAAGCATCAACGTTAAAATGTACAAATTAACAGATTAAAACCAAAGGCAGTACAAAATTGTTAAATAGTACTCAATCAGATTTTTTGTACTAGTCATATTTGTACAATATATTATAATAATTGAAAATGTTTAATTTATATTTAATAATTAAATTATCTATTTGAACTAATTTGTTAATATTATTATTAAATTGAAATTATTATAAGATAACTATACTTATACTGCTGGTACGATAGACTGCAGTGGTGGCCCCTACATTTTTAATACTAAAGAAAATTGTTTGACGTCATTTGATAAGATTTTTTGACATATTTCTAAATTTACTTAAATTAGCTTAATGCCTTTAAAATACAGTAAAAAAGAATTAGAATTTTTTGCTGCCCATTCATACTCCTTTTCGTAATGATATTGATATTCATAACTTTACCCCTATTTAAGGGATGTTTTTTTATAATCATTTCCTCTGAAATTAATCGAAATTTGAACCATTTCGGTTTCAGCAGAATTATTCGAAATCTGACCAATAAATAGAACGCGTTTTGGCTTTTGTTACACATGTCAAGAATCTTTTAAGAACTTATTTGTTAAAAAAATATCACATTCATACTTTACCACCACAGTTAGCAGTATATGCTGCAAGTGTACAGTATATACATTTTTCTAATTGAATATATCTAATTGTTTTACGAACTGCAAATGATGTAGTTTTTATGAAAATTGAAAAGAATTTGTTAAAATATTGTTGTTGGTATGGATGTATCAAGTAACTTGTTTCACTTGTTCACTAAGACAATGTTAGTTTTGATTTCTCACTGCGAAGTTTTGTTATTGATGATGCTTTCTTTATTTAATTTGAATAATCTCAGTTGTTTTTTTTTTATCTACTAAAAATATTATTTATAACAGAAGTGATTCAAGGTATATCTAAATTTGTTAATGTTTTTTTCTTTTACCCTTGCTTAACCTCCAGATAAAACGTGGCAATCTCGTAAATATATATAAAAAGAACTCCTAAAATGTCATTATTAATAAAAACATCGAATCATGAAAACTTGTATAGCATTTATTTGTGTCGCCACGTTAGTGGTTTCGGTAAGTTATACATATTACTAATTACAGTTGCATATGAATAACTTCATTATCATAACTTTTCTCTTATTTAAAAGTAAGTACCGGTTTGTCAAAAACAATCTATGAGTAAAAAAATAATATTTGGTTCTTATGTTACTCCCCCCCTGAAATATGAAAGAAACGCGTTAAAAAGGATCATTGAATCTGCTATCTGGTCTTCTGATCTGTTTACTTAAATTAAATTGCCCCAGGGCCAAAACGGCTCATTTCCGACTACGGATTTATACAGGGTGATTAATTAACAATGGGAAAGTCGAAAGCTGAAGATACCACACGTGAAATGGTATCCATTGGCGCAAACATGCCTTATCCGAAAGTTGATAGTTTCGGAAATACAGGGTGTTGAAAGTTAAAATTTTAAATCGTTTTTTTGCGATTATTCTGAAAATATGTAGATTAGAAACTTGAAAATTTGTGAAACTATATTTTTTTAGGCGACGAATAAGATGCGTATTGTAATTCCAGCATTGCTCATAGAGGGCGCCACTTACGACCAATTTTACCGAAAATTTAGTTAATAACTTTTTACCCTGTATATTTAATATGAAACTTGATTCAAAACCTGAAAGAACTATCATTTTTTCACTAATTATGTACTCTTATTTCATTTCGGTATCTCGATCCGTTTTCGAGGAAAATCGATTTTAACACTATGTTTTAATAATATGAGAAATTAAAAGCGAAACAAACCAAGTGTTTCTTCGTGTTATTACAACAAATAGAATATGTAATTATAATTTAAAGTAATTGTTCGAAAAATCCACCGTTGACACTGATATACATTACACGTCTTCAGAGAGATCTTCGAGTTTGAAACATTCGGATTGCGTCTGACTTCGTTGACAGTGATTTGTATTCTTTGCCACAACTCTTCACACGTGCCAATAGATTTTTTGTGAACTATATCTTTCATTCGAGACCAAATAGAAAAATCAAGAGGATTGAAGTCCGGACTTCTGGATGGCCAAGCAAAAATGCTTAGATGGCCAATCCAGCGATTTGGAAAAACTGCATCTTAATATGCACGCACTGGCCAAGAAAAATGCGGTGCAGCTCCGTCGTGCATGAACCACATGTCTCTTCTTAAATAAAGTGGAACTTCTTCAAGCCGTGGAAGCATTTTTACTTGGCCACCCAGAAGTCCGGACTTCAATCCTCTTCATTTTTCTATTTGGAAGAATCTATTGGTTCGTGTGAAGAGTTGTGGCAAAGAATACAAATCGCTGCCAACGAAGTCAAA